TTTAGGGGATTAGGCGTTTTTTGGGGGTGTAGGGTTTAGGGTTTAGGGCTCAGGGGCACCCTACACCCCTCAAAACCCTAAACCCGAAAGTTTGGGGGTTCGGGGCTTAGCAACCGCGGAGAGAGGCGGGCTGTGTGCACCTTGGCGGGCTCTGGCACGTGCGCACTTGTGGGGACTACGTGAACGACCAGAGCCTGGGTGGCGGTTAAGCAACCCTAAACACTAAACCCTAAAGCAGGTTTAGGGCTTAGGATTCACCGTATATAGGTTTAGGGTTTAGGGTTTAGGGCCCTACATAGCCCGCATATAATAACCCCTATAACTTAGCCTATAACCCCACTTGAAGGCCTAAACCCAAAACCCTAAACCGCGATCCCATTACGGCAGCTGAAGTTCAGTTCTTAACAGCGAATCCTCAACCCTAAACTTAAACTTCAAACCCTAAAGCCTAAAGGCTAAACCCGAAGCCCTAAACTCTACAGCCTGAACTCTACACCCTAAACTCTCAAGCATAGACCCTTAACTCTATACCCTAAACCCTAAACTCATGAGTAGTCCTTTATTTCGGGATATTATGGTACCCAATATAGAGTAAGATTGTATCCACCTTTTGGGGTAGAGTATTTTATATAAGGAACATAATCTTACTAGGTTCAACCACCTAAACCCTAAACCCTAAACCCTAAACCTCCCTACATATCCCCTACTTGGAAGTAGGGTTTAACCCTAAAGTCAATTGTGAACAGCGAACCCAGGAATGCCGAGTGGCACGACGCCTTGCTAAAAGGTAGCTGCTCCGAGACGACCCTGCATCTGGTCGGCTTTAGGGTTTACGGATTTAGGTTTTTTTTGGTTTTTGGGTTCAGTTTTTTTTTTTTGGTTTTTGGGTTTAGGGTTTTAGGGTTTTAGTGTTTTAGGGTTTTAGGGTTTAGGGTTTAGGGCTTTAGGGTTTAGGGTTTAGAGATTTAGGAGTCACGTTTAGGGATTTAAGGGTTCAGATCTAGGGGTTTAGTGGGGTTTGGAGGTTTTGGGATTTTGGATTTAGCTTCCAGAATTTGATTCCTTCAAGTGGGATTGAGCTCACACAGGCATCATGTAGGGTTTAGGGTTTAGGGTTTAGGGGGTAAGTTACCATAACAGCCATAACATGGACCTGTAGGAAGCAATGACAAGATATTGCTGTTTAGGCGCTCGAAACCCAGATCACAGAACTGCAGTGAGTTGTGGTGCATGACGGATGCACGCGCAGCTGTGTACT